CCTGTTGCCATGGTAACAGAAAATTTAAGCCTGAGCATGTTGTTGCAAGGGCAATGGTCCAGTCAACATGTGTGCCAAGTTTGATTAGTGTTGAAGCAGTTTTTATAGTATTATAGCAATTTGAACTTGTAACGGGAGACTTTTCAATGAAAACAGCCATTTTTCACAAAATGCTCATGAAGTAATGGGTTAATGACAATTTTTCAGGTACTTGGTGACAAGATCATAGAATATTCCGATCGTACCAAGCTTAAATATGTAGATGCCGTCATTATGGAAATTCAGAGATGTGCTCATTTAGGTAATCACATTAATTCTAATTCTACATAATCTCGCAATAAATATCACAATCCAATCATTATCAATAAATGTGTAGCATTTAAATACCTTTATCATCATAACCGCTTTGTAATTGTAATTTCTATGAGCAATAGGTTTTGCCTTGGCAATATGTAATCCATATGGATAAAGTCTTGTTCACTATTATTACGTACTCTTTTCGTGTAACTGTGAGCCATGTAACTGTGAGCCAGTATTACTAGTATTATACGGAATATAATTTTTGCAGTCTTAGTTGAAGACTTTACAGAATAGTCTAGTTTTTGCATTGGATCAGATATTCTATACGTCTGGGCTTTAAATGTTTAAAATTTGTTAAAGAACCGGGAAACTATACAAAGTACATGTCAAATGATGCAAATATGTGTTATTTCACACAGCATGACCAATTATTTCAACCTTGCTTCTACTGATAACAATTGTAACGAACTGGCGATTGTACCTGTTTAACAGCCACCAAAATAAGTTTTATTTGTGATTTAAATCTTATGAAATCAGCTACAGATTGCATAATTAGCCTCAGACCTAAATCATTTGTCACCAGGCTATGGAACAATTATATGTCCAATCCCTGTTCTGAGAGCGACATTGCAGCCAAAGGGTATTATTTGCCGCTTCCTTAGCACGACATTTAATTCTTTATTCGAGTATGATTGCTATGAAGTAATATTTTGCAGTACCACTAAACGTTGCACACGGAACCAGTGCAGACACGTCACTTGGAGGATACAATATTCCCGCCAAAACAATGATTATACCTTCCCTCTACTCTGTTCATATGGATACAAAGTATTTCTCGAATCCAGAAAAATTTGATCCCGACAGATTTCTGGATGGACATGGTAACCTGTTAAAGAACGAAGCTCTTCTGCCATTTTCAACAGGTGAGATTTCATTATTTGGACTTATAGTCATTTTGGTTATCATGTGTCCTTTTACACAGCATGGTCTATGTCTAATGATGTATTTGTTATAAACTCTATGCATTTTATGTTACACAATGAACACTTGATTGTAGATCGTTTAATGTCCCCAACTTAAAAATCTTATAATTTAGGTAGGAATGATAAAAGCTATTGCCTCAGTTACACGTAATCTCCTTATCGTTTGAACCTTTTTCTTGAATTTTTTAGTATTCTTCAGGCAGATTTGATAAAAGCTAAATTTTATAGAATTTTATAATAAATCAGTTATTGACTTTTCGACGGATGAATATTACATAAAAGGATCTATAAATAATACAAGGATGTCGGGTTCATAGCAGTTCTAAAGTTCCTATTTGTGATACAATATATTCTTATTAGTCTACATACAATGTAATTAGTTTTAATATCTTGCGTTTGTTGTGGTTAAGGACCCCGTGTATGCATTGGTGAACCATTGGCAAGAATGGAGCTATTTTTAGTGTTTGTTTACCTGATCAAGAGATTCAACTTTGCTAGAGAAGATCCAAACAAGCCGCACACACTAGAATCCAAACACTCACAGGTTACAAACGCTCCATTACCGTATAAGTTACGAGCTACCAAAAGAAACTGACAATTCTAATCAAATGATGTCGATAAGGCAAATATTCATACGGAAGTGTTTACCAAATAAAAAATGCTGAACTACAAATATTCAATCACGATTATTTACCTACATATGTTATCAACGATTTATTAATGCTTTAGGGTTGTTAAACAAGAAACGAATTAAATGCAAACCAATTATTGCTTTTTTCGACATAAGAAGGAAACAAAACTTGACTATGTTAATAATGTTTTTGTTTGCTATAAAAACATATATAATATATATTGTCAATTCAAGCATAATATGATTGTATTTTGAGTTATGGTTATTTCTAAAAATCTGTAGCTAAAACCGATTTATTTAATACACATTTGTAGCCCTTTATTTATCATGCTTATTGTTTGTGTAAAGCGTCATTGCTGTGCAATGGAAATTGTAAATACAGATTTACATTACCCTCAAAATCAGCTCACAAAAAGCGTCACATTTGCTTAGTTGCTTCAATTAACTCTAAGCCTGCTGGCGATTACAGAATCTAACTATACTACAAATGTATCCATGCCGTCTAAACTATACTCCATAAAAAACAAACAACTTATTGCATGACCAGACAGAGGATATTTACTGAGACGCCAAGAACAAACATTAATACACAAACATTGTTATAATAATAAAAACACCATAAAGAAATTTGCTAAAAAAATACGAAAGTAAATTTTTGAAACTAACATTGCTTCACATTTTGTATTATTCTTATTATTGTATTGTTTATGTATCTACTTAGGAAATAGATATCAATTCTGAGTGCATTGTTGTAGAATAATAAGAGGTTAATACACGACAGGAGAGGGCCGGAAGGTGATAATCGGCCCGCAAAATGAATAATGGACCCGAGGGCTTTAGCCCGAGGGCCATTATTCATTCAGGGCCGATTATCACCTTCCGGCCCTACTCTGACGTGTATTAATGTCTTTAATACACTTGGTAGATCTAATAGTAGACTAGCATTTTTAAAACAAAAACAAAAAAACAAACACTTTGAAGTTCTTTCGTTGAAATTCTTGTCTACTCTTCTACTGTATGTACTGTTCTGTACTGTACTGTACAGAGACGTTAACAGCAGTAGAATCTAGAAGCAAGTTTTATTTTCTTTTTTTTTCGGAATGAATTTGTCGTATTATTTCTTCAAATTTCAATATTAACAAAAATGTGTTTGTACTAAATACGCTTCAGCTCTCATAATAGAAATAAAGCGATTCGTGCTGACAACCTACTTTCACTTTTACAGTTAACTGTTTGATGACGTAAAATATGACGTCATTGTTTCATTTTGTGCACGTGCACATGTTCTGCGGGCTGATAACTAGTTCTCGGCCCCGGGCCGCATACTCATAATAGGTCACGTGACACTCATAATCAGTTGAAATCATAGGCAATTTTGTTACTATATATAGTAACAAGTGTATTAATGCACGGTTTGAGTTCAAATGCGTAGTAACATAATCACGAAGGCCGATAGGCCTGAGTGATTAATTACAAAGCATTTGAACGAAAAACTTGCATTATTATACAATAATGAACGAAGAATTAATATCTATTTCCATTCTAACACGTCAAGAAAAAATATTATTATTATTATAAAGTTGGACTTTATGTTTGGTGGTTAAATTTGTTTTCGCCTGCGAGTTTCCTTTAAAGGCTGTTCCAGTGGGTTGAAAAAAACTGTCGTTTAATCTACCGTGTGTAGAAACATTTTTAGAATAACGAATTTGAAAACGTTGATAAAACTTTATTTGTTTATTTTATTTCACTCTATAATTTTTCAAGCGAAATACAAATTATTAAAAGTGAAATAAATGTAAAACTTAACACGTTTGCGACATAAAATAGCGTACTTGATTTGATTGTTTTGCACGTGCTGTTTGGCGCTACATTTTGACGTCACGTAAACAACACTTTAAAAGTCTGTACAGCGTTAACGACTGAATTAAAGATATTGGTGTTCGGATTCATTTTCTTAGTTAGACCATTTTCTTTCATTCTAGATAGCTTTCACAACAAAATTCGACAAAAAATTGTTTTTATTTATCAGATTTTTCAAACAAAATGGCGCCCTTAATGTGAAAATACACAGGGAGATAATAAGAACGGCGAGTGCATTGTTGTAGAATAATGCACGCTTCGGGCCTTCTTTGTTTAAGAAATAATATATCCCAAACTGTGATTTTATTGCTCAATAACATCACTGTTTGGAGTTCGGATGCGGGGAATTATATCACGAGGGCGTAGCCCGAGTGATATAATGATGCGCATCCGAACGACAAACAGTGATGTTATCAAGCAATAAAATCACCGATTTGGATATGTTATTTCGATTCTAACACGACATCATCAAATAAATGCTGCCGTACATGATAATTAAATAAACTGCGCCTGATTTGTTTCCGTACTTATTTTCAGCGCGTCACATTTTTAGTGGTTACGTCACGTGTATAACGATTACGTCACATATCTAAATATAGAACGTCAAACAGTGATTTTATAGCATAATAATACACACTTTCGGTTCTTCTATGTTCAATAGGGAAAAATGCGGGTCGTGTTAGAATTATAATTACAGAAAAAAATCCGATAGTGTAAGAATTTTAAACTTAACAATATAACAATATAGTGTTGAAAAGTTTCAGTATCTAAAATAAATGAAGCGTTGAAAGTACAGGCAAAACAAACTTATTATTAATTATTAATTATTTACACGTCATTATTATAATAGCTAAAACGCATTTCGACTCGGCCAGGTTAAAGGAGATATTTCATCTAATAACTGTTTTGTTTTTTAAAAAGCTCTGGAAAGCTGTGTCAGTTTGCCAATGTCGAATTACTAAATGTTGGACCTCATTCTAGCCAAGTCGTATGACAACAAGAGACTAAATTAAAAAACAATAATGTTATAATTGTGTTTTGTTGCATGAATTTAAATTAAATTTTAATAAAAAATCTTTTGTTATTTGGTAGTAAGTCTAGACCTTGTGCATTGTAAATGTGATCTTATATACGAAGGTCATTCAATAAATAATGCTTATAATTTCCAAAGTAAACAAACGACCACTAGGCAGACCGGTTGTACGATAATCATGCGACATCGACACTGCAGTAAAACATGTTAGAATAACAGGTCCTCCCAAGTCATCGCATAATGTACCTCGGTGCTTTAAGCGAGAAAACCCCAAAATCTTATCAGTTACCATTAATTTATCGTATTCGTGAACTAGTAATCCCTGGCAACCAGATTTCTGCACGGAATCAAATTCTTTGAACAGCTTTGGAAGGCGATGAGAACCGAGGTCCCATGTATTAGTTCTTTACACCAAGTATCACCAGGGTTGCCTCTGAAACGGGACAACGGATGTTTCCATATACTTCCCTGAAAATAACAAAATAAATTGAAATAACTAATGCACTGCCGATATGATCTACCCAATTGCGACAGTAAATAAACAGAAAGAAAATAAGCCTTTAACATACTAAGACTAATTTGTATCATAGTGGAGTACTATATCACCGCTGTTTCAATTAAATGTTTTATCAGTCAAACCTATATATGGTGGCCTGTAGTGTCCATTCTAATTTTACCGTCAGTTTATAAAATGTGGCGGGCACCTTTTAACTCCGCGAGATTTTATGTCGAAATTGTGTGAATTTCGCGGCCTGTAGAAACTCTCGAGTTTTTCTATCACACGTCTGTCGTAATTTTTGGTCTACACAGTAGACTTAGCCAAGCAAACATATGCCTACCTTAATTGGTGTATTCCTTGTAAAAAGTCGAGTTGAGCATTAATCCTCAGGAAATGTCTCTTTTGAATATTCGCTGCTGCAAATTGCTATCACTCGCAGCCACATTTTACGAGACCATTGTTGACGAACATTGTTGCGGCCTATAATTTTTCCCCTCGACATTTTCTAGAATTTCTACAACACTTTTAAAAAATGCCTCGAATTTCTTTCTGTTCCTCGACTTTTTATAGGAAAAAGAGGGAGTCAAACCAATGACGCTTCCGGTCACTGGATATTTTTACGCCCCCCCCCCCGACATTTTCAACGTTTTTAGCAAAAATGAGGCAGGTTTGTTAGTTGCTCGCGACATTTAATGATGAAACAATAAACTTGCTTGCGGTTCTGAAATGGCCGCAACCGGCCACCATACAAACCGAATATCTAATCAGTGTAACCTATTTTTTGTTGTTGCTTAACCATGCATAATTTGTAGATAACAAACACAAAAACAAGTAGGATTTATGAAATATGTATCTAATTCTCAAGGCCATTTAGAAAATTACCGAACCCAGTCGATAAATATATCATTTCATACAAGTGAGTTCGCAGTGTTTTCATCCAAAATCATGGATTTAACAATCGCGATTGTTTTCATTGTAGCCTTCTTTTTGTCAGTTGTTTTCCTCAGAAGACCAAAGAATTTACCGCCTGGATATTTCGGAATTCCTTATATAGGATCCGTGCAAATGTTGCTAAAGTTTCGTGGTAAAAGACCTCATATTGTTCTGGAAGAAGAGTCCAAACGGCTGGGCAACATATTCCGGTGGTATTTGGGCAACCAAATGATCGTTGTTTTAAGTGGGTATGATATTATTCACGAGGCTCTTGTAAAGAAAGCCGAAACTTTTAGCAACAGGCTACTAGATCCACGAAATCCACTTTTCTCAAACGAAGAAGGAGAATCTGGTATGCATTTATAAGATTTATACATCGCTACAAATGTCATATTGACATCTTTATATTTGCATATATGTAGTATAATCTTGTAAGTAGGTAGATGTTTGAACAAGTTTGTTTGTTTAGTCATCTGTTCAATATCCTAAGTTGCATATCAAACGTTTGTTACTAGTCCTGAACTTAAAAATAATCCAAAAGACAGTAATCAAACCATTTTTGCAATGATTGTCACCAAGGGCATCGGCAGGTCTGGAATTTACGATTCTGTATTCCTTTTACTAAGCTGACCACAGACTCAGTACACTCACGTATACATTGATGTGATTGTAAATGCGAACAAGTCCCTCTGTTTCGGTTAATAAATTGATTTAAACTAATTTAATCATATTTTTATTAATCTGACAATAAATACATACATTTAAAACTATCTATGGAAGACGTAAAAGCTAAAGAAAGAGGAAAGGCGCCACAATTCATAATTCAATATACACTGAAAGACTTTTCTAACGCAACACTTGTTCTTTTTAGTGTATTTGGTGTTTTTGAAGAATGGTTATTGATGAAATTAAGAGTATAGATAAATGAACACTTCATACATGTATTGTAAAAAAACTTACTGTAGTCAATGAATGAAAAAGTATAAAATTTAACAAAAATAAAACATAAGGTACAGATAAAGAATCGCAAAATTCACAACACACGACGATGTGAAATGATTGTTTTATCACAGCTCTTATCACAGGATAAGTAAAACATAATATAAATCAAGTTATATCCAATATATCCTCCCTGAGCTTGTGTAAAACCTAACTACACCTCTGTCTCATGGATATTACATAATTACTCAGAAATGTCTGTGGAATGTTCCTCCATTCCTGCACCAGGGCCTGTTCCAGCTATGGTAGGTTCCAGGGTTGTACCGTCCGCCTGCGCACACGCCTATTCAACTTATCCAACAGGTGTTCAATAACATTCAAATCTGGAGACTTGGACGGCCAGGGTAGCTGCTGATTGTTTTGCCGTTGTCGTAGGTCCGGGGTGGCATGTGCTGTGTGTGCCGGTGCTCCGTCGTGCATAAGTATCATACCCCGTCCACAGACTAGAGGATGAGGAAAAGTGACAGGAATAAGAACGTCCTGTTGATATTGTCAGAATATTCATGAAGTTTATATGTATATATGTATCTTATAACGAGTTAATATTTCCCTACAGTGATATATTATTGTAGATGAAACAACGAGTTAATGTTTCTTTACAGTGATACATTGTTTTTAGTAGGGTGTAAATATCATGTTTAAACCAGTCGCTGTATGTATACATGTTTAAAGGTCAGATCGTTTAGCTAGCAAATATGCGCGTTTAGAGAGAGATTTTATATCAGTTAGGAGACACACGCTTATAGTGTGAGGGGTTATTTTTTATTGGGAAGAGAATTTTGTTGTTTTGAAGTCAGTTTTGTTGGTTTGTTGAAGTGGTTGAATATAATTGTGGTGATCTTAATTGATCAGGGTTTATTGGTTGTAATTTGTTGTTTTGGTTGTTGAGTTATATCTGTTTGTGAAGATATAATTGGTTGATATTGGTTGAATGTTTGGTATTATAGCAAGATTATATTAGTTGCTGCTTTGTTTTGAGGATATATGTAAATATTGGGTGCTTTAGTTTAAGTTGTTTTCTGATGCTGATTAGATTGTGTGAAGTTAATATTGTTGGATGAATTGTTTGTGGTTTATACCGTATCTTAGAGTTGTAAAAATATTCTTTTTTTTGTGTTCTTCATTTTGTGGTGATTTTATTGTTGTTTGATCATAAGTTGTTAGAGCTTGGGCTCGCCAGGTGTCTTGTTTCGTATAAAGACGTATACGTGAAAAGATATTTCATATAAGTGGCTGATAAATGATGTGTGTTTTGTTTTGGGTGTAAATAATGATCAGAGTTCTTTGTTTTGGGTGTAAATAATAATCAGAGTTTGTTGTTTACATGTATATATTGATTTGAGATAGAAAAGGATAAAAATACCTAAAAAAAATAGTGTTAACTAAACAACAATTACATGCTAGTTTTCCAACTGAGAATATTTCACTTTTATGTCAGGCGGTGCTGCCCAGCCTCCATATCTTGGAAATTGATTCTAGTATTTATTACTAAATCTTTTCTTAGATTAAATAACATCAAGGCAGACATTTCTCCTGACAATTTGGGGGCTCGTCCGGGATATTCTCTTTAAGTTGGAATCTTTTCTGGCAAAATATTGTTTGTTAAACTTTGATAAAAATTTTGTTAAACTTTAAAACCTTTACGATCTGTTGGTAAAATGTAGCAGTGTAAAATGCTGTTAGGCAAAAATCGATAAATCTGTTGTAGTGTTATACAAGTAAACTCTCTGTACAATAGAGTTAAGTAGAGAGTTATATGTATAGAAGCGGTGACGGGCTGTGTTTAAAAGTTTATTTAAACTGAAGAAGTTATTGCATTTTAGCAGGAGAGCACCCTTTGTTGAATACTGTTTATACGGTGATAGAATTAAGTGGTCCTTGGGAGACATTTGTTTCGATAGTTTGAGTCATTGTGTTAATAAAATCTGGAAACAAAGTGATCCCTCGGAAGCATTAATCACAACAAAATTACAAGAGAACTGCAGACTCGGTTTGATTGAGTCTGTACATGAGGGATAATGAAAATGTGCAACATCCCTCACGCCCCCTAGCACCGGCTTGAGCGGTACTCAATTCTCAACACTTAATAGTGCTGGCATCAATGATTCCGAAGGACCAGAAAGATATAACAACACTGAAGTGAAGTACGGGGCAACTTTTTACAGCTGCCACACAGCACTTGACACCTGCTGTTGTGAAGTATGAAAATCTGGAAACAAAGTTTATATCGATGATAAAGATATAACTTATAATTTGTTGAGGTTATAAACATCAGTAGTTGATTAAAGTTTATAACCGGTGTTCAGTGGGTGATTATTCATAAAAGTGTTTATCATAGTTGAATAGAAAGTTTTTGCTGCCGGTGCTCAGTTGGTTGTTTTATTAAAGTTTACATTGTTGTTAAACACTACGGGAAGATTATTATCGGTCCCCTGGTTGTTACTGTTGATACAAGTTCATTGCCGGTGCCCGGTAGGTGCCACTGTTATATAGAGATTAGATTTGGAATAACGATTGTCGGTGCTACAGAGGTACACCATTTTGTTGATTAATAAGTGTTTACTTTACGGGTTTCGTAAAAGTTTATTATTTCTTTAATAGTAATCCATTATTAAGCAATTATGGATTATGAGAAATGGGTATCATTGGGAGAGAGGCTTGGGTTGAAGGACGGGGAGTTACGTGATTATGTTCAAAAGAAAGAATCAGAATATCTTGATAGAGAAGAGAGAAATATTAGACGTGAAGAAGATAAACGGCGATTAGAGTCCGAGCGTAAAGCAAAAGAAGCTGAACGTGAGGAAGAGCGACGGCGATTTGAGGCAGAGCGTTTAGAAAAAGAAGCTGAACGTGAGGAAGGGCGACGGCGTTTTGAGGCCGAGCGTCTAGAAAAAGAGGCCGAACGTGAGGAAAAGAAACGTTTATTTCAAGCTGAAGTAGAGATGAAAATGATAGAGCAAGAAATAGAATTAATGAAGTTAAAAATCGAGGCTGGGGATCGCCTTGATACCCCGCCTAGCACCGGTTTGAGGCCAAGATTGCCTAAATTTGAAGAGTCAAAAGATGACATAGATGCTTATATATAGAGCGTTTTGAAAGATTCTCTATCAGTCAAGGATGGAAAGAAGACACATGGGCAATAAGCTTAAGTTCGTTATTAACGGGAAAGGTCTTGAAGTTTACACTAGTATGCCTCCTGAGCAAGCATCAGACTATCAAGAATTAAAAACAGCAGTTTTGAAAAGATACCAATTAACAGAAGACGGTTTCAGAAATAAATTTAGAGAGAGTAAGCCGGAACAAGGGGAGACTGTTAACCAATTTATGGCTCGCTTAGATAGGTACTTTAGTAGATGGACAGAAATGGCCGACGCTGCGGATACAGTAGATAAATTGAAAGATCTTATTATTAGAGAGCAATTTGTCAAAGTTTGTTCAACAGAGCTAGCTCTTTTTCTAAAGGAACGAAAGCCTAAGGATCGTAGAGATGTCATCTCTTTGGCTGAACAATACTTAGAGGCTCATGGCGGTACAATTACAAATAGTAAAAACTCAAAAATTGCCAGCTTTTCAAATAAATTACCAATACGCCTTAATCAAGGTAATTTATCGAAACCAATACAGCACTATCACAGAGAAAATAGAAAAGTTACATGCTTCATATGTAATAGAGAGGGTCATGTGGCCAGAGATTGTCGAGATCAGACTAAGAAAAGATATGGGGCTGCTGCAATGTCATATGGAGAGCAAAATAGAAATTACTTTAAAACAAATCGGGATTCTTCACCAAGGAACTGGCGTAGTAGGCCTGGAGAAAATAGACGTGATGGGAGATCAGATGATAAGAAAGTATCGGGGTTATGTATGTCAATTTCTCCAACAAGTTCTTATGATGGTTGTATTGAAGAGGGGAAACTTAAATTAGCCAATGGTAATTCTGTGCCTGTCATTACAAGCAGCTGTACAATTGAATCATTAGAAGGTGAACGTCAATTGGATCTGAAACTAGGATATGTTGGTAATCAAGAGGTGAAAGTTCTTAGAGACACTGGTTGCGAGTTAGCAGTAGTTAGAAAGAAGTTAGTGGAAGAAGATCAAATGCTGAATAAAAATTGTGTCATGATAGCAATAGATGGTCGGGCCAGGTTGGTACCTATGGCAAAAATAGACATTGATACACCTTATTATAAGGGTAAAATAGAAGCTATGGTTTTAGAGTCAGCAATTTGTGACTTAGTCTTGGGCAATATTCAGGGTGTACTTGATAAGCCAAATGAGAAGTGGGTTAGCCGAGAAGTAACAAACATAGCTGCTGTTGTTACTAGAGCACAGGCAGAAAAAGAGAAGAAAGCA